TCTGTACCTCTGAAACAAGTAATACATTACATGTTAAAAAAAAGAAGAAGATAGTAGGAAGGGAAAAATGAAGGGGGGAAATCAGAGGGGGAGATGAACCATGAGAGACTATGGACTCTGAGAAACAAACCAAGGGTTCTAGAGGGGAGGGGTGTGGGGGGATGGGTTAGCCTGGTGGTGGGTATTAAAGAGGGCACATAATGAATGGAGCACTGGGTGTTATATGCAAACAATGAATCATGGAACACTACATCAAAAACTAGTGGTATAATGTATGGTGATTAATATAATAAAATTAAAAAAAAGAATAACTCGCTCTCTCTGTCTTAGCATGTTTTCATGTTATGATGTTTGTAAAAATTTAAGACTACCACTTATTTGAAATAATAAGGGACCTGCTCATAACATCCATTTAAAGGGCAAATACAAAGTTTATTGAATATTTTTAAAGCCCTAAATACAAAAATTACACATGGAAGGAAACCTGGAAGAAAATTAACTAAAAACATTAATATTAACTCTCTTTGGTTGATTTGCTTTTTGTTATTTCAAAAAATTTATCTTCCTATTTGCCTGAATTGTAACAATTTTATTATAATGAGCATATATGACCATTTAAATGCAAATTTTTAAAGAATAAAAAAGTCAGTCATTTAGACTATCCCTTCATTCATATATAAGAATAAATCCATAGTTTTCATCTAATGTGATTCATGTCATAGTGATGTATTTAAAATGTAATATCTGTTAAAATTTCAAAGCTGGAAGGCACCTTAAAGTCATCTGGTTCAACTCCTATATAAAATTTTGTTTTAAGTTTTCAACAGTTTAGTACTAGAAAAAGATGACTTTTGTTCTTTAGTTATTATGTGCAGAAATCAGATGTAATTTCTCATCACAGGTTTGAAGGCAAAATGCTCAATAACGAAGAAAAGAATATTCTACTCAGTTGCTCTCAACAAAAACCCACTCCAAGCTTTGTGGGGGACATGGAGAGGGGACAGCTTAAATTGGCATGGAATTGGAGAGAACTGCCGACACCTGACTGGCAGGAATCCGGAGGCTGCAACTCCTCCCATTTAGGGAGAGTCATACCTCACCAGGAGAGGTCGTATGTTTCATGTGACTTTCATATAGGTGAAAACCCATTGATAACTATCTGAGCTTAGAACTTAACTGGGAGTTACATGAAAACCAAATTATGTTTTTGCATAATTTTATACACTGAATTTTCTAGAACAGCAATTACCATATTTGTTTTGGAACTTTGCCAAGAATTGGTCACCATTTTAGAAAATCCTATCACTGATAGAAGCACTGCACATATTAATTGAGTCACAAATACAATACCCCAGAATCCACTACATTTGTAGCTATCACATTCATGGTGGGCTTGCATAGAGGGGCAAACCACTGATCTCATTATCTTTTCTGGTATAGTCATGCCCAAGCATTCACCTATGAAATGCATATCATTTACATTATTATCTTTTCATTTATTTTGATCTTCTGATCTAATGTAGGAAACCTATGTATACACTGGGAGTGGTTTTAGATAAGCTTATGGGTCCCTAATTGAAATCCTCACAAAATTATAAGATTACTTGGCAAGGTGAGCTCAGAGCGAACTGATTTTTATCTCTGTGGAATTTTATTCCTACTAGGTTTTTCTGGTTCAATTACGCTATTGCTTTCAACTGGAGGATTGTCTGAGCTGGAAGATCCAAGATGGTGTCACTCACCTGACTGGCGGGTGGTGTTCCTGTGGGCGGGAGGGCTTTGGTCCTCTCCACAGAGCTTCTGGTCCTCCTCCACATTAGAGTGACTTCATCACATGTCTCAGGGGAGTGTTCCAAAGGAATGAAGGCAGAAACCGCACGGCCTCTTGCGACATATAACCCAGAACTCATACAACATCACTTCTGCCACATTTTTCTGGACAAAGCTAACAGGCTAGCCCAGATGCAAAGGGTGGGAGGTGGGGGAGTAGGTGGATAAAAAGACTCCACTTCTGTAAAGGAGGAATGGCTATATCACTATGCAGAGGCAGATGCGCACTAGGATGGCTCAACTGTGTAGCTATTCAACAACCTATTCAGCAGACAGCTTCTGCTATGCTGCCCTCCATGGCCTTGCAGTTTATTCAGTAAACTATCACTTTAATAAAACAACAACAACAACAACAACAAAAAACCCATTCTATTCAAATAAATTTTCTTGCATCTAACTCTTCTTATTGGTCCTTGGCTTTCAATCAAAACATACAAAATAAGGGGCGCCTGGGTCACTCAGTCAGTTAAGCAACCGACTCTTGGTTTCGGCTTAGGTCATGATCTCAGGGTTGTGAGATTGAGCCCCAAGAGGGCTCTGTGCTGGGCATGGAGTCTGCTTAAGATTCTCTCTTTCTCTCCCTCTCCTTCTACCCCTTCCCCTCCCTCTTTTTAAAAAAACATATAAAATAAGGCAAATCTCTTTTTCAAATAACATCTTTTCAACTGTTTGAAGAGAGCTGTAATATGACTTATAGGTCTTCTCTTACTTCATTCTTTTTGCCATTGCTCAACTTGACTTATTAACTTTATTCTAGAATTATGGAATAAACCAGAGCAAATATTTCTACTTTTCATTGAGGTCTGAATACTTTCAGTAAAGGATGTTAAGTGTACAACTCAGTGAAGGGTTACATCTATTTATATTTATTCAACCATCCCCCAGATCAAGATAAAAAACATTTCCAGTACACTAGAGGCTCTTGCATGCTCTCCCGAGCCAATCCTCCACTCCCAACAGCACCAACCGTGATTCTGATACCTTCCATCATGAGTGGCTTTGTCTGTCCTTGAACTTCATATAAATAGGATCATACTGTATTTATTCTTCTGTGCCTGACTCATGGAACTCAATATAATGTCTACAAATATCATCCATGCTGTGGTAGCAGTAATTCAGTCCATGATATTGCTAGGTTGAATTTTATATTCTCTGAATACATCCCAATTTATTCATCCATTCCTGTTAATGAATCCTGGGTTGTTTCCAGTCTTAGACTTCCATAAACAAAGTTGCTGGAAATGTTGCTGTGTGTGTTTTTTAGTAGCCATGTACATTCATTTCTCTTGAGTACATTGTCAGAAGCCTTTAGAAAATACTGCCAGTTTCACAAAGAGGTTACCAATCTAAACTCCCACCAGCAGTGGACAAAATCGAGAGCCCAGAAATAAACCCACACATAAGTGGTCAATTATTTTTGACAAAGGAGCCAAGGAAATACAATGGGAGAAGGATAATCTCTTCAATAAGAGAAAACTGGACACCCACACGTAAAAGAATGAAACTAGACCACTGTCTTAGACCACACACAAATGGATTAAAGACTGGAATGTAAGACATGAGAACATAAAACACCTAGAAGAAAACACAGGTGGTAAGCTCCTTGACTCAGTCTTGCTATTGAACTTTTAGATCTGACTCCAAAAGCAGGGACGACAAAAGCAAAAGTAAACTATTGAGATTATATAAAATTAAAAGCTTCTGCACAGCAAAGAAAACCATCAAGAAAAGGAAAAGGCAACCTACTGAATGGGAGAAAATACCTGCAAACCATATATCCAATAAAAGGTTAATAACTAAAATATATAAAGAAGCAAACAACTAAATAGGAAAACAAACAATTCGATTAAAAAATGGGCAGAGGATCTAAATAGACATTTTTGCAAAGAAGACATCCAGATGGCCCACAGGCACATGAAAAGATGCTCATCACTCATCATCAGGAAAATGCAAATCAAAATCACAATGAGCTATCACTTCATACCTGTCAGAATGGCTAAAATCAAAAAGACAAGAAATAACAAGTGTTGACGAGGATGTGGAGAAAGAAGAACCCCAACACATCGCTGGTGGGAAAGTAAACTGGTGCAGCCACTGTGGAAAACAGTATAAAAGTTCCTCAAAAGACTAACAATAGGACTGCCTCATGATGCAGCAATTCCACTTCTGGGTATTTATTTAAATAAAATAGAAACACTAATTCGAAAAGATATATGCGCCCCTGTGTGCATTGCAGCATTATGTACAAATACCAAGACATGGAAACAACGTAAGTGTTTATCCGTAGATGAATGGGTAAAGGAGATGTTGTGTGGATAGATAGATGATAGATAGATAGATGATAGATAGATAGATGATAGATAGATAGATAGAATATTACTCCACTATAAAAAAGAAGGAAATCTTGCCATCATGACAACATGGATGGACCTAGAGGGTATTCTGTTAAGTGAAATAAGTCAGAGAAAGACAAATATGGTATGATTTCACTTACATGTGGAATCTAAAAAACAAACAAATGAACAAACAAAATGAACAAAAAACCAAAACTCATAAAGAAAGATTGGTGATTATCAGAAAGGAAGGGGTTTGCGGGCAGGTGAAATGGGTGATTGAGGTCACTTGTATGGTGATGGATGGTAACTAGACTTATTGTGGTAATCACTATGTAGTGTTTACAAATATTGAATTATTACATAATTATTATGTATACACCTGAAACTAATATAGTGTTATGTCCCAATTTTATCTCAATACAAAAAAAGTGTTCTCAAATGGCTTAAAGAAATGTTTGTGAAGTACACAGAAGTAGTAGAAGCTATGTCACATGTTAAATTAACGATTAGGGAGTATAATTCCAATTTTTTCCGTTGGTCAATATGACTTAACCCTTATCTGCAGTTGTATCCTTAGATGTTCAATAGGAATGTTCATGACCTATCTCATTTGGCCATAATGAAGAAAAAACTAAAATTATGTACTCTCAATCACAAGACGAATATAAGTTATTATCTGATTAAAAATGAATGCCTTTCAGCCAGGTTGCTTTCCCTTTGCTGACATCTGAAGTTTCTAAAACTACCTTGGAGGAGCCTTCTGGTACCTTAAAAACACCCCAGCCATCTAACTCAAAAGTGTGAAGTTGCAAAACCCATTATTTTAAGAGCATGATCCTAATATAGTAGTGCAAAACCTTACCTTTCCTTTTCTGTGACACAGCTGTTATCTTAGCTTTGACCATGGCTGTTAATTTAGTCTATGACTACTTCAATTCCAGCTGAGCAAAAGAAACTGTAGTTCATTAAAATCTATTTCTCAATTCAAACAACTGCCAACCATACAAGCTGTCCCAGCAATTAAGGAAATGTAAAGTGATCCCCCACAGAGGCATGAAGTCAAGTCGGAAGCTAGGCCAACAAATCATTTTCTCCTTACAGCTTCCCAGAAAAGCTTTGGCAGGGGATATGATCAGACCATGAACTAGAATAAATAGATGAAGGGTTGTTTGTATCATGCCTATATATATTCACCATACGAAAGGATTTCTTTGTTTTTCCAGACTCTACTAGATTCTGGACTCTGTCCAGATTCCATATACTTCCAATAATTCTGCTGCAATCAAGTTTTATATTATCAAGAAATCTGGAGAGTGTTAAGAATGATCACAACATTGAGTAGATCAAGTCCATGGTGCTTTACTTCCAAATTCCCTTCATTATAAATGCAAATAACTCTCAAGCAGCTACAATTCTACTTCACAATGCATTCTCATAACTGAACTATAAATTTCTTTTCACTTGAAGTAATTCTTTTTTGTCTTTCAGCATAAGGAATAATGAATTCTGCACACAATTTTTTCAGTGTTTATTTTAAAAGTCATTTATTCCATGTTTCTTGAAAAACAAAACTATTTTATTAAACATTGCATGGCTACCATCCTGATAGCCTTTTTGGGTTTTAATTTTAATACCTCTCTAGGTTGTTGGCTAGATTTGTTTTAGGAAAAAATATGAGAATTTGAATTTAGTTCATTGCTGTGAATGATTCATTTTGAAACCTTGTTTAAATCAGATATTAAGAATCAAATACAAAGTATGACCATTCAGAAGCTGCTTGGAATCCATGAAGTCAATATGGAAATGTACAATCATGGTTGCATGAACCCCAAACAATTTACCAGCTACTCCATCTGTCCCAAACCCCACAATGTCTCATCACTTCTTCCCTTTGTCCTTCCTTACCTCCCCTTTTTCCTGTCACAGGACACACAGACACTCCTACACACTCCTCTGTTCTTTGACAATCAACCCAATAAGAAAATTGAATGCAAAAAATTAAGTGGTCAATTTCTTCCTTCATCCTATGACCCATACCCTACCTCTGATTACCTTTCAATTACCTACTGTGCTGAATTTCCACAAAAATAAACATGCAGACCAATGGAATAAAACAAAGCCCCAACAACCTGAGGGTTCTAGAGGGGAGGGGGGTGGGAGGATGGGTTAGCCTGGTGATGGGTATTAAAGCGGGCACGTTCTGCATGGAGCACTGGGTGTTATGCACAAACAATGAATCATGGAACACTACATCAAAAACTAATGATGTAATGTATGGTGATTAACATAACAATAAAAAATTAGGAAAAAAAACACAAAGCCCCAAACAGATCCTACTCTATATGGATTTCTATGGTCTCAAATAATAAAAACATCACAAAGGAAAATGTAAAGTTTGTGTCCACCCAAGTCCTTGTGTCCCCTGGGGAGGGGGTGTGGGAAATCTATAATCACAAGACACAATGGAGAGGAAAAGAAATTGCAATTCAAACTAACAGACAAAAGATAAGTATCTCTACCAGATAAACAGCTCTTTCAGATGTATCAGGAAAACATCATGAATCTCACAGACACAAAAATGTGCCTCTTAGGAATCAACATTAAGACAGTTCTGAAGTACCAGAATTAGTTTGAGAAAACATTTTATAAATGTTGGTGAGGTCAGAATAAAAGGGTAACATTAATAGCGCTGAATAATATTCCAGAAGTATATACTTCTGGAAAAGTAACATGATAAAAAACTGCATCCAGAATTATTAAAACAGTCATACCATTGAACCCAGTAATGCAGCTGATCAATATTTATTCTAAGGAAAGAGTTCAATAGAAGCAAAAAGTATCTGCTGAAATGTGTTCACTTCAGAATTATTTTTACAATAACACAATCATATAATTATAAAAAAACACTGTAATAGATGAAAATATTATCTGCTAGAAGTTGCTCACTTCAGCCTTACTTAAAGTGGTGGAAAAGGAAAAGTCTAGAGTCAGATTAATATCCAAAAAGGGTAAAAGATGTAAGTAATCAGTCCCATGAAGTACGATATCACTATTTTAAATGATAATAATAATCGCTATGCATAGATCTAAAAATGAGATCAGGAAAAAAATTTTGTGATTACAAATATATGAAATTATAGAGTGGACTTATGGGCTGTTTCCTCCCAATTTTCTTTGATTTTTAAAGAATATGTTTTAAAAATAAAAATGGGGACCCTTTGTAAATAGGTCCATAGAAACCTTACAGTGAAAGCAAATTTTCCTTTGAGAAATAAGAAAGTTCCTCAACGACTTGTCTCCTCTTCTCTTTGGGCACCAGCGTCCTTCACAATTGGCTCTGACTATGGGACTAATGGAACAGCAGTCACTGCCACATCTGGGCCATAAAAACGTCCCACATGTGACTCTGTGTTTCTCCGTGGCTCCACGAGCTCGATAGAGACAGACAGGCACAGGCACCCGGGAAAGCCATATGTGATGCGTGGAACAGTGAGCTAGGGGGAGCCCGGGTCCCCGAGTCACTGCTGGCGGCGAGTAGCACACCAACCCATTTTTGGCTTGACAGTAACCTGCGGACACTTTGAATATATTGGTTAGAGTAGCCACCTTTACTACCTCCTGACTTTCAGTGTGAGGATTTCTCATTAGTTTTAGCAAAGAATTCGCTGGGAAGTTGGAGCTCGGTCGGGCCAAAATTCCAAGGTAGAACTTTGTAGCTCCCCTGCAGATAATCCTGATGCTAGTCTCTCTCCTTCAATGAAAACTGTTCTGTTTTCTCATCTGTCATCACTCTTCTTCCCGTTTAGATTTTTTTTTCCACCTCATCAAAAACTCGTAATTTTGGTGTCAAATTAACATGTCAACATTTGAAAATATCCTACCCAGTATCCTACGGAAGAAGGAGCATCAGTGGTTGACCACTCTGGGGCTAATGAGAGCAGGTGGGTGCTCGGCAGACATAGGTGAGTTTTCTAGCACAAAGCTCAAGCCAAGGAAGGGGGTGTCTGAGAGTTTAAGGCCATGGGATGCATTCACATGCCAAAGTTTAGTCACTGTACCTCTTACGGTTCAAAGAGTCGATGTGATTACCATCAGTCAGTTGGTAGGTCAGATGAGAGATTGCTGTCCCTGCTCCAAAGGTCAGGAATTTCTCTAGGGATCTTGTAATTGTAGTTCAAGGCTGCTTGCCCTCAGACAGTGGGAGGGCCTTACGGAGCAGGCAAGATGATTTAAGGGCCTTCATGGGGCTCCTGGGTGGCTCAGTCCATTAAGCGACTGACTCTTGATTTCGGCTCAGGTCATGATCTCAGGGTCGGGAGATTGAGCCCTGCATCTGGCTCTGTGCCGCGCGGAGAGTCTTCTTGGGATTCTCTCTCCCTCTCCCTCCACCCCTCCCCCGACTCACACACACATTCTTTCTCTCTAAAATTAAAAAAAAAAAAAAATTAAAAAGATGCCTTAAGTGCCTTTACACAGGAGTAAAAAATAAAAAATAGAAACTCTTAAGCAGGAAAAAAAAGTTTTTTAATTTTAAAAGTCACAAATTGTACCATGATACTTTACCTGATACAAATAAAACAGAAGTTATAACTTCTCATCTATGATTAACTTTTTTTTTAAAGATTTTATTTATTTATTTATTTGAGAGAGAGAATGAGAGACAGCACAAGAGGGAAGAGGGTCAGAGGGAGAAGCAGGCCCCCCGCTGAGTAGGGAGCCCGATGCGGGACTCGATCCAGGGACTCCAGGATCATAACCTGAGCTGAAGGCAGTCGCTTAACCAACTGAGCCACCCAGGCGCCCCTATGATTAACTTTTCAATTCAATTAATCTAATCCCAGTTGATGTGTGATTAGAGCCCAAATCTTGTTTATTCTTAAACTTAACCTGCAATACTTGAGAGCTTCTTGGAAAAAAAAATTGTTATTAACCAGCACCGGAATTAAAAGCAAACTTCCATATGGCAACATATCGGCACCGTCCAGCCCTCTCCTCCCTACGAATGCCCATTCTATCACGATGCGCCCCTATGGGAGTGACCAGCAAACATTTGTTCTCGGTCTCCTTCCTAACCCCGGCTCCCCTTTATCTCCATCCTCATCTTTCATCACCTCTCAGAAGATGGCTTGTGTATGAGCCATGCAGAACTCCTCCAAGTCTCCTACCCGAAACTCCTCCAGAACTGTATGCCTTTGCCACCGAAGTGAAATCTATACCATCCTTCAAGACTCAGAGCCAACCTGGCCTCCTCTGTGGGTTCTCCCCTGGATTAGTTGTCCCTCTTCTGTGCTCCCATGCTCTGCTCACAGAGCACTCGGCACACGCATTTGTTTTTTTAGGTTTTTATTTTTAAGTAATCTCTACAACCAATGTGGGGCTTGAACCCACAACCCCGAGGTCAAGAGTCGCTCACATCACAGACTGAGCCATCCAGGCGCCCCTTGGCACACACATTTTTAATGGCAGTTTTACTTGTCCTTTTTTTTTTTTAACAAATGGTAAGCCCCTTAAGGGCAGAAACAACTTTTCATCTTTCTGTGCCTTGAGCACAGTGCTGGCATATAGATAGTTGTTTGATAAATTTGTCATATGATTGATTGAGTGAATTCTGTAGCTTAGAACTGTTATAAAAAAATAATGCCAAGGGGTGCCTGGGTGGCTCAGTCAGTTAAGTGTCTGCCTTCAGTTCAGGTCATGATCCTGGGGTCCTGGGATCCAGCTCCATGTCAGGCTCCCTGCTCAGTGGGGAGCCTGCTTCTCCTTCTCCCTCTGTCCCTCCCCCCTGCTCGTGCTCTCTCTCTCTCTCTCTCTCAAATAAATAAATAAAACCTTTTTAAAAAATGATGCCAAGATCACTTGTTAACCTAACCCCTCACCACAAAGTTTTTTAGTTTGCTAGCCTGCTGTCCAGTGGCATGGTTACTAAGGTGTTGTAGTGACGAGGCTTTGTTCACCAGTTACAACTTAGAAACAGTTTACCGGGTCTTCCTAACAAGCTGCTCGTCTCTACACATCAGATGCTATGTTGTAGCTAAGTGCCGATAAAAGGAGCACCAAGTACACACTTACGGAATCCAGTCTTATGCCAACTGAACTCATTCATGCACTCATTCTATAAATATTTCAGTGCCTACTCTGCCCCACACTGTTCTAAGTGTTGGAAATGCAGCAATGAAAGAAAGCAAAAAAGACTAATAAGTCTTCCCTCCTTGAGTTTGCATTCTATAGAGGAGACACGAACTATCTAGATATGTATTTTGCTGAGTGTTACGAAAAATTAAGTTGGAGTATAGTGGATATAGAGTGCAGTGGAGGGAGGAGGGTTGCTGTTTCACAGGGGAGTTGGGAAGGCTTCTCTGATAAAGTGACATTATGAGCAAAACCTGAAGGGAATGGAAGGGTTCATGGCAAGTGCAAAGGCCCTGAGGAATGGATGGCATTCTCCATCATGGTGTCAAGTGTGGCTGGAGCCAAGTAGCAAAAAAATGAGGTAGAAGGTGATTGTGGCTGTGGGGGAGAGGTAACAGATTATGCAGAGCTTCTAGGCTGGAGTTCGAACTTTGGCTTTTACTCTGAGCAAAGTGGGGAATTACTGGAAGGTTTTGAGAAGTAGAATGACAGGATTTTACTTTCAGTGTTTAGGTTTTTTTTTTTTTTTTCAAATTTTTAATTTAAATCCTAGTTAGTTAACATATATAGTAATATTGGTTTCAGGTGTAGAATTTGATTTTACTTTTGTTTTAGAGAGAACTCTGACTGCCATGTTAAGAACAGCCTAAAGAGAGCCAGACACAATGATGCAGGCAAAAAAGAACATGGTGACAAGACCCAGAATGGTATCTGCAGTGGAGATATGAAATGTTTGTATTCTGGATCTATTTTGAAGGTCAAGCCAACAAATTGGGAATTATGAGAGGAAGTGATCCATCAGCGATGACTGCAAGGTGAGAGGAACAGTAGAATAGACTGGTCATCGACTGATATGTAGGATTCCATTAACGTGTATCTTTGGGGGAAATCTAGACCGTGTCTCCTGTATTTTCTTTTTCTGTTTGATGATAAGGTCATATTTATAATGTATATGCTTCCCGAATCTGAGGATTATTTGAGATGTACCTTTTCCTCCTCCACTCTTCCCCCAGTCACCAACTCTAAAGCTTCTTTTTCAACAACATCTCAGATGTCTCATCTGCCTTTACTCTTTCCCTCCCATTCTTTCAGTTTTGGCTCTCAGGACTCGCTTGCTAGAAGGCAGCCACTTCCTAATTGGTTTCCAGCTTTCGATACTCCACTCTTCCAGTCTCTCCCATTATGAAGAAAGCACAGATGGAATCATCCCCACCACGTTAAAAAAATCTCTGACAGCCTCTGCCCGCTTAATACAGACATGCCTGTCCTCTGAGCAAGAATCCACATGATATGCTTTTCCAGCCTGGCATCATCCTGCATGGCCCAGCATGTGCCCCTTGTTTCTGTTGTATATGCTCCTGGTCTTAGTTATATCAGTTTGCGCTAACTTCTAACTGTGCATGTTGGAACGTTGCCAACCCTTTTAATATCCATTATTCCAATAGCTTCAAGCTGCAACCAGTAAGAACTAATCTTTTCCTCTCCTACATATTCACACCTCTTTGGGCCCCTGCTTAGCACTCTGTATTGGTGATTTATGTGTGTTTCTCTATCTCCTTTTGGATAGTGGCCAACTGTATGGAATGCAAGTTCATTTTATGAACCACATCGTTCCAGTTCTCCTCAAAGTACTGCTCAGAATAGATCCACCATAAATATTCGTAGTAGGTTTAAATAGCAAATTGCTACGGCAGTGAGAACAGTCCTAACATTAAGAAAAGATTTGCAGAATTTTTGACTGGTCCCCACCCACACATAAGTGCTACACACAATTATTCTGCAAATGCATTTTCTTTTATAGTATATTATTTATTATCGTAGTGTGTTTGGAACAAAACCCCCAACACAATGTAAGTATTTAAAAGGTCATATTCAGGAGTCTCAATAAATATAATCCTCTCTGGAGTAATATTTAGAAAACATTGTAAAATAAATGAGATGTTCTGTTCCTCGGAGGCCAAGTAGGTTTTCATTTTTGTACGCCAATAAAAAAATATTGATTTTTATTTTTCTTTGCTGAGAAAAAAGTCTTTAAAACACACTAGGCGAACTGGTTATGTGCTGCAGAAAGCCAGATGTCTGAGGGCACTGCAATACAGAATTAGCACCGTGTGTCTCGTAACTTAAGGATATCTTAAAGGGAAAGTGATGAACACTGTGATTTGGCAACTTGAGGATAGAGGCTTCTGTTCTGCGCCCTATTCGGAGGGCCTCTAGAGGCCGCATCACCCCTGCGCATTAACATTATTGCCATAAATGCCTTTTCTGCGAGTCCGGCGCCCCCGAGCTGCACTTCACTCCTGGGTATTAAGCTATTAGTATAAATATATTTTTCTTCACTAGATTATAAATTCCTTGAAGGTTATTTTATCTAAAGTTATTGCTGTTTATGAATGTGTTTTCTCCACCAGACTTGAAGTTCCTGGAGTGCGGGAACTGTCCCTCTATTTAGATTCTTCCTGCTCTCACCATAGAACTTTGCACCTAGCATTCACTCAACCGATGTTAAATTCACCTTGTCCCTTGACTACCATTCTGTTTAACTTCCTCTTTGCTAAAGGACACTACAACCTATACCTAATTGAGAAGCTTGTATTACTTGTAATAAAGGTTCAGAGGCTGTAACAGAAAGGTAGAATAGTAATAGTTAAAACAGTCCAGGTGGAAGCTTCCCAAGACTTACCTACTCCTCCTGTCTACCGGACTCTGGGCTACTGGCTACTGTGTGTGGTTGTGCAGGATGTGCACTGCACACTCTGGGGGCCGATTCACACTGCCATCCCTGGGAATGGTGCCTGCTGGGCTAGTGCACCAAACACTGCATGGCTGTATTCAGCAGCCCTGTGGCTGCTCCATGGTGGTAGAGATCAATGTTCCTTTTTCGTATTGCTCCACTGTTCCTGGGAGTTCCAAGATCCATCATGTTCCCAGATCCACCACCACAGCCACATTCCAGTAACAGCGTGCTTACTGGAAGATGCACCTGTCACTGCTTCTACTCACATTCCATGCTAGAGCTCAGTCATACAGCCATGCTTAGCTGCAAGGGAGCCTGGAAACTACCTTTACGCTCAGTGCCAAGTTGTAACTCAAGGGTTCAATTACTATAAATGTGGAGAGCAGATCTGGGGGGACAACTAGAAGTCTCTATTACAAACCAAAATGCTACCTTTCATTTTGTCCCTCGCATTTCTATTTCTGTAATCTTTGTTATGGCTATTGCTTCTCCTTTATTCCTGAGAACCAGGAATAGTTTCTGTGTTGCCTAAATTTCTGCAATACTATCTGTGACT